TATCGCATAGTGAATTATTAATTTTAATTTATATTGATTGTATCACGGAAATGCGAAATGATCGTTACACTCATGATGTACATAATTCGATGTAATTCAAATTGTTACACTCATGATGTACATAATTGGCTGTAATTCAAATTGTTACACTCATGATGTACATAATTGGCAGTAAATCAAATTGTTACGCTCTTGATGTACATAATTGGCTGTAATTCAAATTGTTACACTCATGATGTACATAATTGGCAGTAAATCAAATTGTTACGCTCTTGATGTACATAATTGGCTGTAATTCAAATTGTTATACTCATGATGTACATAATTGGCTGTAATTCAAATTGTTATACTCTTGATGTACATAATTGGCTGTAATTCAAATTGTTACACTCATGATGTACATAATTGGCTGTAATTCAAATTGTTACACTCATGATGTACATAATTGGCTGTAATTCAAATTGTTACACTCATGATGTACATAATTGGCAGTAAATCAAATTGTTACGCTCTTGATGAACATAATTGGCTGTAATTCAAATTGTTATACTCATGATGTACATAATTGGCTGTAATTCAAATTGTTATACTCTTGATGTACATAATTGGCTGTAATTCAAATTGTTATACTCATGATGTACATAATTGGAAGTAAATCAAATTGTTATACTCATGATGTACATAATTGGAAGTAAATCAAATTGTTATACTCATGATGTACATAATTTGCTGTGATTCAAATTGTTATACTCATGATGTACATAATTGGCTTTAATTAAATTGTTATACTCATGATGTACATAATTGGCTTTAATTCAAATTGTTATACTCATGATGTACATAATTGGCTGTAATTCAAATTGTTGTTCTCATGATGTACATAATTGGCTGTAATTCAAATTGTTATACTCATGATGTACATAATTGGCTGTAATTCAAATTGATATACTCATGATGTACATAATTGGCTGTAATTCAATTGTTACACTCATGATGTACATAATTGGCTGTAATTCAAATTGTTATACTCATGAAGTACATAATTGGCTGTAATTAAATTGTTATACTCGTGATGTACATAATTGACTGTAATTCAAATTGTTATACATGTACTCATGATGTACATAATTAATTGATATCTTTTAAAGAATTAACAAACACACAAACGAAAACTGGATTCATATTGCCACATCCAAATGAAAGCCCACTATTTAAACAAGACAAAAAGAAGAACGGGTCTTTCAATAGAGGGCGGCGATTGTTGGTTTATACATTCATCAGCTACTCTGCAAATTATTATCACATACATCATTTATTTATTTACAGGACGTAATTACAAATACAATGAAATAAAGGCACTTGATATGTTAATTGAAAGGATGCAAGGGCGCAACGGTAAGTATCAATATTATCATAATTTATATAACTCCAGTTCAATTGATGTTATTAAAATTGATTTGTAGTTATATGAGAGGATACCTTATGAGTGGAATTTTAAATATGCTATGTGGATGGGAACAATGTTTTCATTGATAATATAGGTTATGATTTTGTTGAAGGAAATTGCGGCTGATTTGCTCAGCAATATGAATCAGATGGGTACGTCATATGACGTCATCAGTTTTAATACTAATGCATATTACAGTGTTGCCGTGCTGTCCTGCTTGAATAGGAATGCCCCATGCAATGCATGCCGGTAGCAAGTGATACATTCGTAATCTCGCGAGATATTTTAATGATAATGTCCATCCCCGATTTTACCCAAAGTCAAATTAAACACTAATCTTAAATTGTTTGTATATATCGAAGATTTCTTTAAACTGACTATACATCCAGAAAAACACATGCTACTGGAGTTACTCCAACGACCTATTTGTTGACAATGTATACGTATGTAATCTGTACGCATGAATCCGTGACTAATACGCCATATTGTCTGCATATCGTGACGTCACTCAGTTTCATTATTGAAACCATTAACATTCGAAGAACACACTGCTGGATGTGGTTAGTTGGATATGTTAATGAACTCAATGGACAGTCATTCCCTACAAAATTAAACGGACACATTAAAGCCATGTAATTCTTTCTAAAATTATAATAAAATGAACTATGTTTCAGTTAGAATAAGGATATATAATTTCATAGAGTTTATGGTAATTCATAGTGTGGTTATCATGCTGCATATTTTGATCAATTGTAGGACTTCCGCTGCCATCTGGTTCACCACCACCACCACGCCATCCAAAACCATCTGGTTCACCTCCGCCACCACCATCTGGTTCACCTCCGCCACCACCACCCCCTGGTGGTAAGGACGATGTCTTGTTGAAAGAGCTTGCGGCCGATTTACTCGAAGAGATGAAACGAATGGGTAAGATTTTATAAATGAGAATCGAACTCATAGATAACTCTAATGTAAACTTCTTCTTCCTTGTGATCAGTGCGTGTGTGACAACCAGTTTCTACAAAGAGTCTGCGCTTTGCGACGATGATGACAGTCAGTGCGTATAACTTTAGTTTTGTTATGTTTCATCTTGATGAAAAAAGTAGGGTATGGTTTTTCATGAAAAAATAACTGGTTTGGCAGCAAGCACCGCTCGATAAAATACTAAAAAACTTGTGGATTTACCCGTGAATACCGACGTGCAGTTAATTAAACAAAACTGTCGTTTCCTTTTCATTTAAAAAATACTGTCATGTTTGTACATGTCCATGTCTAACTAAGATTACCGGATTAAATTCTTAATTGTAATTCATAATGCATATTATATACTATACACTTTATTCAATTACAGGACCGCCACCACCATCTGGTTCACCTCCGCCACCACCACACCACCCAAATCCATCAGGTTCACCACCACCACCACAGCGTAGAAACCCACCTCCGCCACCACCATCTGGTTCACCTCCGCCACCACCACACCACCCAAAACCATCAGGTTCACCACCACCACCACAGCGTAGAAACCCACATCCGCCACCACCATCTGGTTCACCTCCGCCACCACCACCACCTGGTGGTAAGGACGATATCTTGTTGAAAGAACTTGCGGCCGATTTACTCGAAGAGATGAAACGCATGGGTAAGTTTTTACAAATCTGAGTTTAACTCATAGATAAATTGGTCCCTGAATAAAACTATGTTGTTAGTCACTACATTGTGTTTATTGGAAAGATAGTTTTCCAGGCCACAATGTTTACAATATATTGATGACAATAATGGGTGTGGATGAAGGTTATGAGGGCGGAGGTTATCCTAAAGTGAAAAAAGTTAACAACTAAAACTATTGAACATGAAATCGACATGCTTGAGCAAGTGTAGGGTGTGGAAACGTGGTATTAAACTTATTAAAGTAACCTGATGACTTGAACATAACCGACAGGGACTTGTGGGTCAAACATGTTCGAATATGCAAATGAGTTGTACGTGACTCATTGTACATTGTACAGTGATGATAATTTACGCGTATCGAATTGTACGGAGTTCGCGTAGGGGGGTTGATTTCTCAGCGTAAACGTTCAATAGCTCACTGGCATCAGAACGCCGGGAACCATGGAAACCACCGAATAAAATGCGCAAGTTAGATATCAACTCCCTCACCCACGTACAGAAACCGTCTGATACCGCTATAACTTGAAACTTCTCTATTCAGTAAAACCTAGAATTCTTCCTGATTATTTGTGTCATTATAATCCTAATGCATTCTGTTTCAATTACAGGACCGCTTCCAAATCCTCCAAAACCGTCTGGTCCACCTCCACCACTCCCATCTGGTTCACCTCCACCGCGCCCATCTGGTTCACCTCCACCACTCCCATCTGGTTCATCTCCACCGCGCCCATCTGGTTCACCTCCACCACTCCCTTCTGGTTCACCTCCACCGCGCCCATCTGGTTCTCCTTCACCCCCTCCACTGAGGAAAAGCAATGCATTGTTGCGTGAGCTAGAAGAGCTGTTTGAACTAGAACAGAACCATGATTAATTTGGATAAACTGAACTTGTTATATGATCCATGAAACCCAGGCCGGACTGTACTCATCTCTAGATACACCTTTATAATTTGTTTGTAATTTATACTTATTTCACTGGTTTTATATATATATATATGCTATTTCAGTGTGTGTTTATTGTTTCTTCTACTAGTATTAATACTTGGATGGTAGCCACGCGTGACCGCACTTCCGACATCATATATGGTGTATACAGATACACGGGTTATTATTACTATCGTTATTCTGAAAAAAAAAATACTAAAATAGAAAAAATCAAGAAAAAAGTGAAAATTTCCCTTCTCGCTACCTTAATTCATATGAAATCCGACAATTGTCTTAAATATGTAACTTTTCAAATAAATTACGTGTTTAGCTTTGATATGGTTGAATACTCGTGTCTGATTTCGTCAAGACGTGTTAGGAATGGTCAAATTTGTTTGAGTAAGCGAAATGAGCCCGGTAGTATTAACCAATTTCATTTGTTTCTAGCTAAGGGTGGAATATGGATCTAACGTTTCTGTTATTTAAGTTAAGAGTCAGTTTTTGTGTATTTCGACATATAAGTAAGAATGAAATATCCAACAAAAATATACTCAAAATTATCTACATGTGGTCTCCAAGAAATATTCATCACGTGCAAGCAAGGCGTAGTCATACTTGGGTTTGGGAGAACGATACGATTGCACACTGATGTGAACTGGGCTACTGTAAGCCCAAGCTTGAAAAGGATGTTCACCAAAACCACCGCTCATGTGGCTAAAGCAGATAGAACACCCAGTTTCGTTTTAGTTGTATTTAAGTGATTTTCTTAATATCAGGTTTGCCTGGTCCTCGAAACTTTCATCAACCACAATAAATGGAGCCTTTGATG